CAAGTTAAACACTGATCGCAATAGAAGCGAGCATGATAGAGGCCGAAATACGAGCCTGAAGTGTTATCGATGCGGTAAGGCAGGACACATAGGTCAGGAATGCCGTACCAATAGATTTACAAATAGATTCAGCTTGCCAAAAGCAGACAAAACGGCTGGCGTCAATGCAATAGACAAATATTGCAACTACTGTAAAAAGACCGGACACCTCAGAGAAGAGTGCTGGACTTTAAAAGGGCGAGAGCAAGCAAGCCAACCGAGAAAGAAGGAATACGAAAAGAAAAACAAAGTACATGTAACCACAGAGGCAAGCAATGACCGAAATCATGACCAAGCGTTTAGTAGCAGCGAAGACGACGAAATAGAGGAGCGCAAGACAAGGACAAGTCGAGCTGCACGCGAACATAAAATAACGCAGGTCACCGGAAAAAATAACAGGCACGGGTTACACATGATAACGTTGCCCATAGAGGAAGCCGAAAAAGGTAAAATGCATTTGCTACTGGATACAGGAGCAACGCTGACATTGATTAAAGTAGGAAGTCTAAAAGACGAGGTAATAGTCCGTGACGAACGAATGGTTTTAAAGGGAGTCACAGGCCATCAAATATACACGATCGGAAAAATACGAGCGACAGTACGACTCGGAGATCAAAAAATTAAGCACACCATGTATGTAGTACAGGATGATTTTCCGACTATTTACGAAGGGATACTTGGCATAGATTTTTTAATGAAGCACGCAGCCAAGTGCGATCTACAAAAACAAAAACGTGCGCATCGGAGACACGGTTCTCAAGTTACATCCCGAAACGGCATTTGCAACATACGCGCTAGCACCCCGTAGCGAAACAATTATACGGGCTAGAACCGACAAAAATAAAATCGGTATAGTGCAGGCGGAGGAAATTACGGCCGGAGTATTTATAGGGAGCTGTTTAGTAGAACCGAAGGAAAATGTATGTCCGATCACCGTAATTAATACGACAACGGAGGCGGTAGAGATAACGACACCGCTTGCAATATTAGATGACGTGCCGGTGAGCGATCCCGCGGCCGTGCATGCGATAGAAAAAGATAGCGAGAACGGCAAGAGCGCCGAGACCGTGATGGAGCGGCGGGAACGCTTGCGTCATTACGATTGACACACTTAAACAAGGAAGAAACGAAGGCCTTGCTAAGTATATGTGACGACTATTGCGATTTGTTTTATTTAGAAAGCGATGCGCTTACACACACAAATGCAGTGTCTCACGAGATAGCGACCCGTGCGGATTGCGCACCGGTAAATAGAAGACCGTATCGACTACCCGAAAAACATAAAGAGGAAGTCAACAAACAAATCGCCAAGATCCTGGCAGACGAAATTATTCGCCCCAGCACAAGCCAGTGGAATGCGCCACTGCTAGTAGTACCGAAAAAAACAGACGC